GAGACAGTACACAATATTGGGGAAACCAGCACAACTTGTACAAGCAAAGGTCATGGAAGCTCCATAGACACATCCGAACTCCCTGAGGGACTGAATTGCTGGGCGGAGGGCTGTGGGGACCACGGTCTCGAGGAACATCTAGCTCAACTGGCATAACACAATTTATAAAGACAATGTTCTACATTCTACCTTGGTGAGTAGGGTCTGGGGTCTTAAAAGCTTGTGAGCAGCCATCTAAGATACTCCACTGGTCTCACCCTTTCGGGGGCAAGGGAGAATGAAGAAAGCTAAAGACACGAGGGAAAGATTAGTCCAAAGGACTAACGGACCACATCTCACGGCCTCCACCAGACTGAGTCCAGTACAGCTAGATGGTGCCTGGCTACCACCACTGACTGCTCTGACCGGGATCACAACAGAGGGTTCTGGACAGAGCTGGAGAAGGATGTAGCACAAAATTCTAACTCACAAAAAAAGACCAGATTTACTGGCCTAAAGGAGACTGGAGAAACCCCGAGAGTATGGCCTCCAAAAACCCTTTTAGCTCAGTGGTGAAGTCACTTCTGAGGTTCACTGTTTAGCCAGCGAGTGGACAGCCCCATAAAACCAAATGGGACTAATGAGGCACAGCAGTCCGGGGACAAGGGCTAGAAAGCAGAAGGGGACAGGAAAGCCGGTGATAGGGAACCCAAGGTTGAGTAAGGATAGTGTTAATGTGTTGTGAGGTTGTTAACCATTGTCATAGGGCAACATGTGTACCTACCGTTTAATGAGAAACTATTTTGATCTGTAAACCTTCATCTAAAGTAAGAATAGCAGCACAACTGAAAGAGTATAGTCGATGTCACTGAACTGTGCATGTTGAAATTTTTTAAATGGTGTATCTTTGGCTATCTATATTTTCACCAAAAAAAAAAAGTCAGGAAGGGAGAGGGTTGACATGTCATGGGGTTGTTAACCAATGTCATAAAACAATATGTGTACTACTGTTTAATGAGAAACTATTTGTTCTGTAAACCTTCACCTGAAGTACATTTAAAAAAAAAAAGAATGAAAGAAAACCCTATGGAGCACAATTCTACTCTGACATACATGGGGACACCATAAGCTGGAAATGACTCAAAGGCAACTGGTTTACATATCTTTGATCAAACCTTTCCACTTGACTCTGAAGAATTTTTTCACATTCCCATTGATGTATTTGCCTTTTCTAGGAAAAAAACTTTTTTTTTTTTAAATCATTGTACTTTAGGTGAAGGTTTACAGAACTAGCTTCTCATTAAACAGTACACATATTGTTTTATGACACTGGTTAACATCCCTACGACAGGTCAACACTCTCCCTTCTTGACCTTGGGTTCCCTATTACCAGCTTTCCTACCCCCTCCTGCCTTCTAGTCCTTGCCCCCAGGGTGGTGTGCCCCTTTAGTCTCATTTTGTTTTATGGGACTGTCTAATCTTTGGCTAAAGGGTGAACCTCAGGAGTGACTTCATTACTGAGCTAAAAGGGTGTCTGGCAGCCATACTCTTGGGGTTTTTCCAGTCTGTCACGCCAGTAAGTCTGGTCTTTTTTTGTAAGTTAGAATTTTGTTCTACATTTTTCTCCAGCTCTGTCCAGGACCCTCTATTGTGATCTGTCAGAGCAGTCAGTGGTGGTAGCCAAGCACCATCTAGTTGTACTGGACTCAGTCCGGTGGAGGCCGTGGTAGTTGTGGTCCATTAGTCCTTTGGACTAATCTTTCCCTCGTGTCTTTAGCTTTCTTCATTCTCCCTTGCTCCCGAAAGGGTGAGACCAGTGGAGTATCTTAGATGACTGCTCACAAGTTTTTAAGACCCCAGAAGCTACTCACCAAACTAGAATGTAGAACATTTTCTTTACAATTGAGCTAGATGTGTCTAGGAAACTAATTTTTAATGAGCCCAATTTTCTGACTCTAATGAGCACAAACCTGTATCCATCTCCGTATTTCTCATTATTTTTTTCTCTTCTCCGCCTTTGTTTCTCTCGTCGAGCCTCAATTCGTCGTTTTTCTTTTTCTTCCATTTTAGAATCAGTTTTTGCTGATAAAAGACAAATCAAACATCAAAAGTAAAAATCAATTTTCCATTCTCCTTTTCAAGTCATCAGTTCATAAAGTAGAGACATACAGGATTTACTCGGTAATCATGATTCAAATTGAGTTCACCAGAAAATCTGAATTTGACATTACCCAGTATACTAAAACTTCATTGATGTGAATACCACCATCATGAATTTAGCCATATTTGCTTCTCATCTGTGATTATTTATTATATATTTTTCTTTAAATTTACATTTTCTTATCCCCATTTTAAGCAATAATATACATATCACCTAAAATCACCTTGCGTATCACGCCTTAGGGAATGCTAAAGTACCTGACTGCATGAAAATGGAAGTTCAATGCATACTGGAGTCATGGGTGCAAGGAATTTATGTAAATATATAGTAAAAGCTCTACCAAAATTTCTTAAAATGTATAAACCCCTCCCCTCAAACAGTAGGTTCTTTCTTTCAATGTTTTTTTTTTACTGTGGTAAAATACATATAACATAAAATTTACCACTTTAACCATTTTGAAGTAGACAATTCAGTTGCATTAAGCGCACTCACAATGTTGTACGACCACTAACACTATCTAGTTTAACTTTTTCGTCACCCAAAGGGAAACTCCATGCCCATTTAGCAACACTCCTCATTCCCCTTTCCCCAGGCCCTAGCAACCACTAATCTGTCTTCTGTTTCTATGATTTGCCTATCCTGAATAGTTCATGTAACTAATAATTATCCAATATATGGCCTTTAGTGCCTGGATTCTTTCACTTAGCATAATGTTTTCAGAGTTCATCCATGTTTTAGCATGTATCAGTACTTCATTTATTTTTATGGCTGAATAATATTCCACGGTATGGATATACCACATTTTGTTTATCCATTTATCTGTTGACCAACATATGAATTGTTGATACCTTTTGACTACTGTGAATAGTACTACAATGAACACTGCGTACAAACATTAGTTTGAAAACTTGTTTTCAAGTTTTGGAGGTATATACCTAGAAGCAGAATTGCTGAGTCAGATGATAATTCCATGTTTAACTTATTGAGGAACCGCCACTGTCTTCCACAGCAGCTGCACCATTTTACATTCCTATTGGCAACATATGATGATTCCAATTTCTCTACATCCTCACTAACACTCGCTATTTCCCTTTTTTTCTTTTTAATTATGGCCATCCCACTGGCTGTGAAGTGGTATCTCATTGTGAGTTTGTTCCTTCTTGTAATAAATTATCTCTTGGATTATCATTGTAAAATTTTATCTAGTACAAAATCATTCCTGGGAACTAAAAAAAACTTGATGGTAAATATAGGGTTGCTATGAGTTGGAAGTGACTCAACGACAACAGGTTTTTTGGTTATATATACATATAGGAGCCCTGGTGGCACAATGCTTAAGCACTCAGCTGCAAACCAAAAGGTCAGTGGTTCGAACCCACCAGCCGCTCTACGGAGAAAAATTTAGCAGTCTGCTTCCGTAAAAATTACAGTCTTGGAAACCCTATGGGGCAGTTCTACTCTGCCCTACAGGGCAGCTATGAGTTGAAATTGACTTGATGGCAATGGATTTGGTTCTGGGTATGTATACATCGAAATTAACTTGACGGCAACAGATTTGGTTTTGGGTACGTATACGTATGGGGTCACTATGAGTCACAATCGACTTGACAGCAGTGGGTTTTTTTTTAAATGTATACAAGGGAATGAGTTTCAAAATTACACAAAATCAATACATTAAAATGCAATATCTACACTATTTTTCATTATTTTATGAGGGCTTAAATGTACATTCTTATTTTATTAACCATTTTCAATACCCTCATTCAAAGGTTTCCCTCAAACTGTGACTCTGCAGAATATCCATTTATATATACTGCCTCAAACAGGAAGTGGTTTCATTTCCCTTTCATATGCTAAAACTAGCATATATGTTGTATCTCCAGTCAAATGACAGAATATGGTTCTTTTCCTACTAATTTTCTACAAATGAAACAGTCTAAAATACTACAGTACAGCAAGACCTCTTATTCCTGAAAAACTGGCAGTTATCTTCCAAAATGCCCATTTCACATTTGACAATGAAAGCCTGACTGACCTAAAGAATTTCAGTTTCATCCTTAGCTACACTATTCTCAAGTTTTGCTAAAAAGAAAAAAAGGTGGTCATATACATGTGCTTTAACAGCATATGCCTCTGTTAAGGGCTGGTTCAGCTTTGCTGCCAGAGCTACTGTGAACAGCGCTGCAATAAACAGTAGTGCACTTGATTATTGTTTTGTAGTAAATTTTGAAATCAGAAAGTGCGCATCCTTCTACATTGTTCTTCTTTTTCACAACTAGCTATTATGGATCTCTGATAATTCCACATGCATTTCAAAATTAGTCTGTCAGCTTCAAATCAAGCTTGACTAAAAAAAAGTCATCTGGGATTCTGAAAGGGATTTCACTGAATCTGTAGATCAGTTTGGTAAGTACTGCCATCTTAACAATGCTAAGTCTTCCTAACCATGAACATGGATGTTTTTCCATTTGTTTAGATCTTTTTAATTTCTTTTGCCAATGTTTTGTAGTTTTTAGGGTATAAATTTTACACTTCTCTTGTTAAATTTATTCCTAAGTATTTTACTCTTTTTGATGCTACTGTCAATGAAACAGTTTTCTTTCTTTTTTTTAAAATGGAATCTATCTGCACGTATTAACCTGTTTTATAATTTGGGATTTGTAGCCCTGCTTTGTCAATTTCACAAGTCTGTTACAAAGGTTAATGTAATAACATATGTGGAGTTTATCTGTAAACCATAATATGGCAATCAAATATAATAGTGCTTGCCATAGAGTTTTCTGAGGCTTTTGGTTCAGTGGTAGAAGTCCCCCAATCCATGCAGGAGATACAGGCTCAATTCCAGCCAAAGCACCTCATGCACAACCACCACACGTCTGTTAGTAGAGGCTTGCGAGCTGCTGTAATTCTAAAGAGATTTCAGGGGTGCTTCCAGACTAAGCAGACTAGGAAGAAAGGCCTGGTGATCTACTTCTGAAAATCAGTCAGTAAAAACTCTAAGAATCACAACATCCAAACCCCAACCGATCACGGAGGTGGCTCAGGACTGGGCTGCATTATGTTCCACTATGAATGGGGTCACCATGAGTCGAGGGCCGACTCAACAACAGCTAAAACCTACTATGATCATGAAAAATTTCTTCCCTGGGTCTTCATAAAGTGGATTTTATGTGATGTAACATACTCCTTCATAAACAATACCTCCAGTGGTAAATTTAACACCCCAAGAAAGGGGTTTGAATTAAAATCATAAACAAAGACTTTTTAAAAATACAGATGTTTTGTCCCTACCCTGTATCGATTTATGGAAGAGGGATAGACCAGAGCATATGATTTTATAAAGTGTCTTTGGGTAATTTTGATGTTCACAACTGATTCAATCATTGCACTAGGGGAGGCACGATTCCCAGAATAACAAGCCTTGAACTAAACAAAGGCGAAACGAAAAAAGTAAAGACAAACACATAGAAGTAAAGTTTGTGGAGCTTTCAGGTTGTCTTAAAAAACTGATGTCACAATTCCTGTGTGCCAGAAAGCACAATTCTTAGCAACAATTCAATATAATTAGAGCAATGAAATGAAAGATTTTTCAATTATATAAAAGCTCACATATGTGCTTAGACTGTTAAAAGATTTACCATTTTCAAAGGTATCTGCAAATTAAAACACAACATTACAAATGCTTGAACATTAAGAAATATATTTCTAGAAGTTATCTGCTGAAGTTATACCTCAAAAATGTTTATTCAATAAATAAGTACATTAAAGAAACTATTTCAAACCATTCTTTAGGCTTAAAAAGAAACACCAGACCTTTAATAACATTAAAATTGTAATCATTCAGAATGCTAAACAACAACGAAACTACACCTTCTTTCTTAACTAGCACTCTAGACCAAGAGTTGGCAAATTTTTCCTGTGAAGAAACAGATAATAAATATTTTCGGCTTTAGAGGCCACATATGGTCTTTGTCACATACTCATTTTGTTGTGTTACAATCCTGTAAAAACATTGAAGTCATTATTAGCTCAAAGGCCAGTACAAATACAGGCCAGGGCTGATTTGGAGCACAGACCCTTGCTTTAGACCACAATACAAAAAAGTAACAATAACACAGCAGTAAATAAATAAATTGCTATTCTAAATGTAGCTGAAAAATTCAGTGTTTGATACTATCTACAAATTAAAATACCATTAGAAACAAGATGGTTATTACATCCTCCTGCAAAATTGATGCAAACTGAAAGCCTTGAATTTTTCATGTGAAGTTTTAGAGGCTGAACCAGAAATTTCACAGCTCTTTAATGTTCTCACTAAATTTCAATCAAATCTCATTTTTAGAATTACAATTATTTTACAGTTTCTCAATACAAACTTAGAAAAATATTATCTAAAAGCACTGAATAATTTAAAAAAAAAAAATCCTGAACAAGTGTAATTATGTTTTCTTACTTACTGGGTGATTTGCTGAGGTTCGTCTTCTCCACAGGTTTTGTTAGCTTGGGCTTCTTGATAAAGGTTCCACCGGGCTTATTAAATGGTTGTATCATTTTTCTCTTTATTCCTCTTGCAGCAGCAACTGCCACATTGGTGGGTTTGTTTTGATAGTCAATAACAATTCCAGGTCTATGAACGTTTCCAAAATCTCCCATATGCTGTAAATTCACCAAATCAAGAAATATTAGTATATTTTCCAAAGTTAAAATATGAATTTTATATAAAATTTACATATTATCTATCTTCTAATTTTCACCTGAGAAATCCCAGATATAACTTTAGTTTTACATGTCCACTCTGAACAAACACATTGAAAAACTTTTTATATTATTACATAACTCAAATCCAGTGAATTCGTATTTTCATTTCCAGTAGAACAAATATGGATATTTTCTACATTTTATTTTTACAACTCAAAATCACTTGAGATCATAAACAACGTATGTTCCTGTCAGAATATTACCACTTGTACAACTCTCTGACAACTCCTCTTCAGAGTTCCTAATTGATGTTTTCTCATGAAAAAGACCTTAAAAGAAATCTTTATTTTACTAAAACCTGGCTTAAAACTAAGATACACAAAGACCATATCTGTAAAGTAAAAAAGATTTCTCCCTGTTGAAAAAGGGAATAAGAAGGCTAGATGGAACATTAGCATGAAATAGGAGAGTTAAAGCATAACCATGCATCAACTTCCAGACACACTTCAGATTACAGAATTGCATCTGACGTTCCATTCATATTCTTACCTACAGAAACATACTCTGACCCATAAGCCCAAGAAGCAAGAGTTTACAGATGAAGAGTCATGCAACCAAACAACTCTTTGTGTCCCTTCATCTTCTCTTGTCATTAACAAAATCCACTACACCAAGAGGCCATGTGCCCACAGAAATTTATTCTGCTAACCTTACTTTTAGAAGATAAAGACTCAGGAGTAATCTGAAGAGAAGGATCCAATGGGAATTGTACAAGTGAAGGCTAAAAAAGAAAGTCCTAACAGTTCATCTACTTCATTAACAAGAAGTAAGAAAGAAAAATCCATTCAGACTAGAATGGTGAATACAAAGTACAGGAAAACCTGTTTTACTATTATAAAACAAAACTGATAAAGTCTCATTAAGAAAAAAGCCCCTGCCTAAAAAAATACACAGTACGTTAAATGTTTTCCAAATTCTTAAACTGGGATGGGTTTTCAATTTCTAAATCCAAAGTCTACTGCCCCACGGTTTTTGATAAACCTACCCTTATAAAGTATGGTGGAAAGCAACATGTCAGTTGCTTACATTTGTGTATCATGCCTAGGAATACCTATCAAACCTAGTAGACCTTAATAAATTAGTGTTTCCTGGTTATATATATAGTCACATCAGAGAAATCTTCATTAACTATCCATTAAAGGTGCAATGCATTTTACATAAGAGTAACTGTTATAAGTGCAAAATTTCTACACAAGGATAACGAACTATACTGATGTAACACAGGCTAATAAACAGATAAAAACATGCGCTCAACTACATTTTTATCGGAAGTACTTTCCTCTACAAAGAGATTAAGAGCCACTGACTTAAAAAAAAAAACAAAAGCTTCTTACATTGTAGCAAGGATACAATATTCTTTATATAATCAAACTACATAATATCCCCACAATCTACACACACCTACTAGGTAAAATTTCCTATCAATCAAGTTACCTAAGAACATAGAGCATAATCTTCACACTACATAACTTGAAATTAAACACTTACGAACTAGTATGTTTACTCATTTAAGCAATAATTTACAAAATATTACTTCCTAGGAAGAGGCCGTAAACGTGTTTGTATAGGTAGAAAATTATTCCTCAATAGTAAAGCTAGTGACACAAGGAAAATAAAACCAACCGCAATAGGACATATTGTAAGAGGGTGAGTTAGCAAAATCAAACTGAAACAAATCATTCTACAACCCACTATACACAACAACTTCTTTACCATGTAAACATGGTTAAACTACCCTGAACTAACACCAACTTTTAGTCTCTTGAGTTTAATATGAAATACGAAACTCTGAAGAAATTCTACTTGCCAGAGTTCAGAGGCAAAGTATAAACATTTTATCATACATTGCACCTTTAACCTACTCAAAAGCTCAAAGGGTTCAGTTACCTTTTACAATAATCCAAGAACTATCCCACCAGCAAAACTGCTAGTGTTCACAAGAAAAAATGCAACTCCTTTTAACCCCTTTTAGACCAAACCTAATATCCACACCTTTTAATAAAGGGAGATTTGGCAAAACTTCATGAACAATGATCTCAAACTGCCACTTATTTTCTGAGGTGCTGGAAAAACTTTTAGCCAACCTAAAAATTATGTTTATGACTCAAGATTTTGCTTTAAAATACACTGGGATGAACAGTGCTTATGTTGAAAACCATGGTCTTGAAAGGGTTTAAAAGAGTGACTAGTGAAAAGAATCTGAAAAGATTCTGTTGTACTTACTCCTCGGCCTCGGCCTCTGCCTGTTGATGGTCCTCCAAAAGCATCATAGTTTCTGCTTCCAAACGTATTTTCAGGATAAGCAGGCGTTCCTCTCCCCCGAGAGCCTACAGGCGCAGGCTTCATATGGGGTGAAGAAAAACTGCTGTAGGAAGAGTAATTCTCTCTTCCTCTGTCCTCCATAAACCCAGGCCTCAATTTTGAACGGGAGTAAGGTGCTTCCCAGCTAGACCCGCCCTGGTTTCTACCTCCGAAAGAGTCAAGGCTATTCCGGTAGGAGCTCTCATATCGACCACCATAACTACCTCCGAAGCGGCTTTGTTCGGGTTCATTATAACCATAGCCAGATCTGTACAGATCTCGCCCACCCAGAGAAGACCTGGAGTCGTAAGACTCATAAGGTCCAAACCTGGAAAAGTTGCACAGTGAGGGAAAAAACAAAAGTAAGCTTACTAGTGTTAGACAATTCAAAAGACAAATTATCAGTTGACATTTATCAACTAAAATTCATTTATACCATACTGGTTTGCACAGTTCTAATTCTATTGCACAGTTCTAATTCTATTCACGCTTGATTAGGGCTGGGCAGTTCAACATTTGACCAGATAGAAAGCTATCTGAGTCAGTGTCTATATATGAATTGAGTTTAATAAACCTTAGCTTAAAAATCTGCTTTCTAGCAGCTTTTCTATTTAATTGAAAAGAAAAAATTTGTCATTATTTAAGCCCAGCCCTAGTCTTGGAAAAAGTCATTTGCTAAAGTTCATGAGCTACTGAAACTTTCTTTGAATCCATCTGTAATATTAAAACAAAATATTTACAATAGTTTGGCTTTCAATAGGGACACAATTGAAGAGTACACAGATGTAGGCTATTTGCGACACAGAACAGAACAGATCCTTTTGCATCCCAAATAATCTATATCATAAAACTGCTTCATTGCGCGTGTAGTAGTCAAAATTTGGGGAATTATCTCTGATTAAAAAATGTGACAAACTGCCAAACTTTGGTCAAGTTCAATCCTTAGTTACTTCTCACTTATAAACTAGTAAATCTAACAAATCTAGAAGGATGAACACATAAAATAGGACATAAAAGTAAAAGACCACCAGCATAACCTCTGCATATGAATTTTCAAGGCAGATGACAAAGAATACATTTTATAATGTCCTTAATTATCTGAAACGTTATTTCCTGGCAGGAAATTAACACATAAAACTATTCTAAAAAAAAAGGAGCACACTGTCTCCTTATGGTTTTTATAGTCAACAACAAAAAAAATCATCTTATTTCTCACAAATCCAAACTACAAATTACAAAACTTGCTTGATATCTTACAACAGAGTTTTATAAAGGCTCACAATTACACATGAAATATAAGCAATAACATCTACAGAAACAGTTTATGTACGTTACGTTTACATCGCAACAAGGTAATAACTGATATAATAAAGCATTTAAATGTATTATATTACTTCAATTATTTACAGATTGCTAAATAGAAGGCACCATTTACTTCTGAATCCTAGTAACCATATAAAAATTATTCCTCTTTTCAGCTACAGTTTTCAAAATATCTATCACAACAGTAAAACTGCTATAACTGTTCATTTTAATTTTACTCTACCATAAACCATAGTGGCACACTTGAAGCAGAAGGAAAGAAAGCAAGCATCATCCAGTCCATTATTAAGGAAACCAGATCCTTCAATTTACTGAACCAGGACGACAGCTTCAAATGCCTAACTAGTGTTATTTATATTCAGTAGGATGCTCTGTGCCTCAAAAAGTAGACCTCCTTTGCCTGTAATGTGGTCAACTCTAAAGCCTATAGCTGCTCAACTACAATGTAAGCTTTACAAAGTATCAACAGTGAAATATAAATGCAATCTAAACTATAGTGCATTAAAATAAGCAAAGGTATATTATTATTCATGGTTTTGACACAATGCTCCTAGCCTAGAACACAGATTTTTGGTGTAAGCAGTACCTGCCAATAAATAACCTGGACATGATTTAAAGAAAAGAACATTTTTCTTATTACAATATGCTCTTCCAGCTCACTTTAAAATTAAAAGACTACCTATCTTAAATGTCTCTTAGAAACTGAATATTGCTAGGCTGGTTCAGTTAAACCCATTCTACTCAAAAACTGCTTTGCTGCTTTATATACTACCCCACATTCAGAATTTTTTTTTTTAAATCATTTTAAAAAAGCTTCACAAATAATATTTCCAATAACATATCTGCATATCGTTTGGTCAGGACATTCTGATTGATATGAAGCTTAGAGAAAAAATTAAAAGAAAAAAAAAGTTCACTTCTAGACTGAATATTTTCTTTTATCTGACGTTTTACTAAAATAATATCTGCCAGTAATTTTGAGATAATTTTTATACCCCTTAACTAATACCTTCAAATATTTAAGGTGATTATTCAATGTCAAATAGCGAAGTTCAAGTATCATTAACATACCTAAGAAACACTTAAAATAATATACTCAGAATCTTACAGTTGTCTAATTACTCGGCCTAATGATGAAGCAATTTACCTGTTACCCCCACCACCACCACCGTGATTGTCCATGCCATATGACTGGTTTAGGTAGGAGTCCATGGATCTTTGACCCCCATAGGATCCATGGCCATAGTCACGATCCATCCCTATAAGATTTAAAAAGAAAAAAATTAAGTGATGCTCACCTCTACTGGCATTCAAAAGAAGAATTTTTAGATAAATATCCTTGAATGCCAGACCTCCATAAGATCCAGGGCCATAATCACGATCCATTCCTAAAAAAGAGTCAACAAAAAAGGCGTGTAAAATATACCATTCTCTTCAAGAATCTTTGCATAAAACAGCTGGATATTCAAATCAATCACCTGAGATAATTTATCATTAATATTTATGTTAAACTCACTCTAGACAATAAAGGAAAAATGCACAGATGACAATCTACTGAAAAATTAGATTTGCTAACAAAATCTAATTTCCAAAGAAAACCATATTACCAACTAAAAAGCTCAATATAAGAATTACTTCCAATTTAACCAATATTTATTAGACAAAGGGACAACTGTAAGTGTTATAAATAAGGATGCTATGATTTAGAGCTGACTCAATGGCAACTAACAATAAGTATTAGGAACTATATGGTATATAAAGATAATTAACATAATCTCTATTCTCAAGAACAGTCAGCATTTCATAATTTCAAAAGGAAAAATTTATGTCATTAAGTATTGTTTTTCTGCATCTAACTGCTCTCAAAATGTCAAAATAAAAATTCATAAACAGCCATCTTCAATTAGCCATGTTGACAGTAACTGAAACAGGTATTTCTAAAAAGAAAAATCAGGGATATACTTTGATTTCATTCATTCAAATATCTACTGAGTGTTTGCTGTGTATCAGATATTCTAGGAGTTGGGAATATAGCAGTGAACAGAATGGAAAATTATCTTGTAAATTCTATAGGGCAGGATACTTTACAATTATTTTGCAAATTCTATAGGACAGGATAATTGTCCATTCTGTAAACTGCTGTATTCTCAGCTACTAGAATGTCTGATACACAGTAAACCCTCAACAGATATTTGAATGAATGAAATCAAATCATATTCCTGAAACTACCATAATTTCCTCATTTGTAAAATGCAGACAACAACCCAAACCTCTGCGTAATCAAGCAGCGTTCTTTAACCAGAGGTGCAACCCAAAAGAGTATTTTTCATAACATACACAGCCAGGGATCATTTGTCCTGAGATTAAGATTCAAGAAGTCTAGGGTATGAACTGAACAGACATACTTTGAAAAAGCTCTCAAGGGGACCCAGATGAGAATCACTAAACTTAAGATAAAACATTAATAAAAATCTTAACATTAATGATAGGAATTCCTGGAGATGTTTTTGCAACACTGCACGTTACTAAGAAAATAAACTTCTAATATTAAATCCAACTCTCTAGTAAAGCCTAGTGGAGATCATGCCTTCTACCATTCCAAATTGCTCTCTCTCTGGCAACAGCACTAGTCCCACCCACTCCAGCTTAAAATCCTGGATTTATTTTTACTCATCCCTCTTATTTTTCTGTTACTAGTCTGCCTGCAAGTTCTGCTTATTCTCTCAAGGAAACATCTTTATTTTTTATTACTATTGTCATCTCCCAAATTCAGAGTCCTAAATCCTTATACCTAAATTTATGAAAGAGCTTTTTAAGACAATTTTCTAGTTTTCAATCTAACCTACCTGTGGATGCAAATTAAACTTGCTTTGGTAATTTTATCATGCCACTCTCCTGCTCAAAAATATAAACGGCTCCCTTTCTTCAGCATTCATTTAATATATATTGACTACTTCCTACATATTGAGTAATTTTTATCTCACATCAAATGCAAAGTTTCTCTAAATCCTTAGAGATGATAAATGGAAATTAACTGTATAATAATTACACCTGTAAAATAGCAGTCTATTTCTTAATACATTTGATTAGTTTTATTTTGTGACTATATTGCAACTAACTTTCTTCTGTGTAACAGTTTGCATTTCTTTGGCAGTCAAGATTTTTAATGTCACTCCCTCAGATTCTTCATATAATGCTTTTTTAACCTCACTGTTCTGTGTCACCTCTGTATTTATTATCCTGTCTGGCAGGGCCTTAACTCTTATAACTATCAAAATGACATCCAATTATATTCTGCATCTCTCTCACGATTTTGTCTAACTCTGTAGTCACAACTCTTACATAATGTTTATGTCAATAAATAATCAGGCTCCCTTATGTACTCCTCTAGATAGTTCTTTATATACTAACATACTTGGATGCACTGAAGCAAATGCCTTCCAAAAAAAAAAAGATCTAAACGTATTACCATAGATCCAAAGGACTAATGGACCACAACTACCACAATCTCGGCCAGACTGAGCCCAGAACAACTAGATGGTGCCCAGTTACCACCACTGACTGCTTTGGCAGAGATCACAATAGAGGGTCTCGGACAGAGCAGAAGAAATATAGAACAAAATTCAAATTTTCTTCAGGAATCAATTCAAATTTTAAAAAAAAGACCAGGCTTGCTGGTCCAACAGAGACTGGAGAAACCCCAAGAATATGGCCCTCGGACACCCTTTTAACTCAGTAATGAAGTCACTCCTGAGGCTCACCCTTCAGCCAAAGATTAGACAGGTCTATAGGGCCAACTCATAGGGTTGCTATGAGTTGGAATCAACTCAATGGCAACAGATTTGGGTTGTTTTGGGGTTTTTTTGGTATAAGGCCAACAATAACACATGTGAGGAACGTGCTTTGTAGTTCAATCATGTATAGGAGACTAATGGGCACACCAGCCCAAAAACAAAGACAAGAAGGCAGGACTAATGGAAACAGGGAACCTGGGGTGGGGAAGCAGGGAGAGTGTTGACACATCCAAGGGGTTGGCAACCAACGTCACAAAACAATTTGTGTATTAACTGTTTAATGAGAAACTAATGGGCTCTGCAAACTTTCACCTAAGACACAATAATAATAATAATAAAACAAATTAAAAAATAATGTATTACAGTAGAAACAATATAGAACCAAGCCAATAATCCACTGAACCTACATTACTCAGTATCAAAATTTCTAATTAACAAAAAGAACTCAGCCAGTTTCTTGTAATCCATCACTCAGAATGCAGTCAGGGACTTTTGGGATAAATCAATCCAAACAAAACAGACAAGAGTCAAATGAATTGAAATTACTCCTAACTTTTTTGGATCCCAAATTCCCAATACAAATACTATATATAGCCTAACAATATTAACAGAAGTGATAACATCAAGAGCCAAAACAGTGACGGAAACAAGAACGAACTAGTTTTTTACACTGGTACCTTACTGTTATAGATATGAAGAGAAGAGCTGAAATATACTCCCTCAACAAACTTAAGAGCAAATGAAAGAGAATACTTACCATTAAAGCCCTGATAAGTATTCCTGCAAGCAGAGTGTGTGTAATCTATGAAAAACATTTAATAAAAAAGAATCAGTACTATATTACCAAATATCCAAAAGTATATATCCATTTATTTTTTAAAAAAACACAAAATTTTTAAAATGTCATTAACTCAATTATCTGCAAAAATGTGGTATTAAAAAATTACCAATTAATACTCCATTTCAGGAGACATGTATCTGTTTTCTTCACTACTTCTCCAAATGGCAGGTTTACCATTCAAATTATGGTGATGTAAAAATTAGCTGATAACACCTGATATATAACAACCAATAAAAGAGGGGACCCAGTACAGATTTATACAGAGTAACAAAAGCAAAGATAGATTAAATTATCTATCAAATAATGCAAAAAGCAGAGACATCTGAGAATCAATTCTATGTAATCTATAACTTTTTCAAAGTTAATCTTTCTTTTACCACTTAATTTGTCCTCTAGAAATGTCAAGATCTTATCTGAGAAATGCATATGCATATACGTACATGTGCAGTACCTGTTCAAGATGTAGACCTCATATTTCCTTGTCAAAAATAATTCAATAAATGTTAATATAAACGAGTTAATTTTACAAATAAATCCTGGGGGAAAAAAAGGAATTTAATATAGTGGTCATTTGGATACAACAGAACCCTAGTACACTACACAGGATTACATTTAGATACATTGTTAGTCAAATTCTGTCTCCCAAAAACAGCAGTCACAGGATTACATTTAGATACACTGTTAGTCAAATTCCATCTACCAAATACAACAGTGTTGGGATGGGCAGTGAAAGGGAGTATTTTCTCACTCACATTGCTTAGAATTTTATCACTGACACTGCTGACAATTGTGGATGCACAGTGATAATAAAAGCAGACATACTAAGTTTTGTTATTGTTTTTCAATTATCTACAGACAATGGAGTCCCTTATTGCCTGGGTGGGAGGAGCGTGGCTCCCACTGACCCCAGCCCCCCTTGATAGAGTCTGCTGTACCTTAAGTATTGGTCCTGTCATCAAACTGTAACATGAAAACACAATAATATATTTCTTAAGTTCACTCTCAATTCTGATCACTTCAAAAATTTGTAGTTTAAAGGTTACCTACATCAAAATGATCAAAGTCCAACTAAAACAAACAAAAACACCAGAGTGTACTACTGCTACTAGCTGAACTTCCTACTTCAAAATCAAAAACCAGACCCGTTGCTGTCCAATCAATTCCGACTCATAGCGACCCTATAGGACTGAGCACAACTGCCCCACTGGGTTTCCAAGGAGCTGATGGATTCAAACTGCCAACCTTCTGGTTAGCAGCCAAGCTCTTAACCACTGTGCCAGGGCTCCTCCTACTTCAAAGTAACTTAAAAATATCCACAAAAGGATTATTCCAATCCTATATATTTGGCAGCTTTAATTCTTTGTGGCATGAAATCAAATCAAAGATCATTCAGTAAGACTCACATGCTGAGATCACACCTCATTCAATGTTAAAGAAATGTTTTGGTGGGGGTTACAGGCTTACAGCTAATTAGTGAATTGGTTTTATTTAGAAATGTCTGGTTACTCAGGATTAAATCCAGTTTAATCATTCAAGCCCTTTTCCAAGTCTCTCTAATGCTGTCACTACATACCATTTTATCTTGACACCAATTCCTACAAAAGTTGAGCAAGCCTAGACGGCAGGCGAAGACCAAGTTAATTTTACTTTGTGAGCCTGTGAAAATGGCTTAAAGAGCTGGTGTGAGAGATGACTGAAAGATATACTAAAATACAGTTTGTTTAATCAGTTAGTCCAGCCCAGTTGGCTGTGCACAGGTCTGAATTTGAAGGACATTTCGTGCTTGCTGTGCAAGAACTGCGACTAAAATCCCATCCAGTGAAAATCCACAGAAAAAGGTTTTGGTTCACAAAAGTATTTCAAATTAGAGATTAACGGCAAGGTAAATTTGGTAGATAAATACCCCAGCTGGCTAACCAGAAATAGCTTGCTTTCCATTTTGTACAGATACTTATCGATACATATTATTTACAGACGTCCTTTAAACTCATTTTAAACTAAGAAATACAGAAACATTGTGGCCAAGCCTTTGAAATCTAGCAAGAAGTAATCTGTGGTTGAGGATTAACTAACTAATCAAACGGATGACCTGGGTCGCTCCTGTGGACGAATGCGAGACAAGGTGGAGGGAGGTCCCTGCTCGCCTCTTTACCCGAGACCGGGAAGTTGGTGGCGAGGGGAGGAGGGTAATTTCCACGAACTGGCGCCAGGGGCGAGTCCGGCACGGAGGCCGGAGGCCCTTGAGCTTCTGGGCGCGTCCTTCCCCGTACCGAGGTCGGCACCGAACTCCGCGGCCCCGCCGGCAGCTGACGCCGGGAAAGCCACAAATCGCAGCACAGAGGTCCCCGAAGAGGCCGATTCCGGGCGCTGGGCCCGCGGCGGGCAGGCGGCCTCGGGCCCGCAGAACAAAGCCCACGCGGCCATTTTGAGACGGTAAACAGACCGCCGGCGCAGGCCAGCCCGCCTCCCGCCCGACACGGCGACCAGCCAGAGGCAGCGCCTACCGTCCTCGAAGTCCATGGCGAAGGCTCGGAGCCGACGGCCTTGGCGGCGCTGGTCTGACTTCTGGCCGGTGGCGAGAGCCTGCGAACAGCGCTTCCGCACGATCAGCCGGGATGACCGAGAGCGGCGCTACAGACTCGGAAGCCACCGGCCACAGCGAGGCTGGAGGGGCGGGGCCGACAGGCGCTGCCAGCTGCCGTAGCGCAGCCTGTGATTGGCTGGCGCGACTGATGGGCGGGCGTTCGCGTGGAGGCGGGAAGCTGGGCGCCTGTCACTCCCCTGGGCGCTGACCCTCAGGACCTCTGAGGAGGAAGGAAGGTACAGGAGGGAGAGCCAAAGATTAGTAAAGGTAGCATAGAGCCAAAGATTGGCAGGGCTAGCGGGAAAGCGAGCTGAGTGCTCTGGAAGGTTTGGCTGCGGCCCGCCATGTTTGATCCTGGCAAGAACGAAAGGCTCTATCTGGAATATCTTCGTCCTCCCAAACTAGTAAACCACGTGCCGACCTTTCGCTTTTTATTGGATAGTAATGACTGCTCAGAAAATAAAAAAAAAAGTGCTTATACGAAGTTTCTGCCTTGGAGACACGGAAGTCCGGACGTTTTTAGAACTCTGAGTAGAGAACAGATTGCAAAATAAGAAACATTGATGGGCATGATGCAAAAAAACAGGCTATTACCACTTTCTGAAAGTGCAAAATAAAGTACCTTAAAAATTCACAGATGGGGAGATACGTGGGAGCAAGAGTCGTTAAGCACTTAAACGATGATCACACGAACACACACACACATACAGCCGCTGTATTATCATCACTTTGTAAATAGTATTGAGGACAGTGGGCAAAATTACTAACCCACAGGGCAATATGACCCTGGAGCAGCTAAAACCGCCGGTAAAAAAAAAAAAAATTAATAGCCCAAATGGTGTCAACAATGAGTAGATCACCAGATGATTTTTTTAAAAAGTTGCCATCCGCTCGATTCTGTCTCCTGGCAACCCTACGTGTTGCAGAGTAGAACTGAACTGCTCTCTGTATGCCAGGCCTTTCTTCCGAGCCGCCTCTGGGTGGGTTTGAACCACCAAACTTTAGTTGAGTAGCTTAACCTAACCGTTAGCACCACCCAGCACTCTAATGATGTCAACAGTAATTTGATCTCTACAAAGGAAACTATGAATCAACTATTTGCTCTTCTTCTGAGTCCGTCCACTGGAGATACAATTGGTGGAAAAACTCACTGGATATAGTACATGTATTACTGCCACAGTGGTTAAGCGCTGGGCTGCTAACCCAACGGTCAGCGGTTGGAACCCACCAGCTGCTCCGCCAGAGAAAAGACCTGGCGGTCTGCTCCTGGTGATGGATTTGGTTTGATTTTGACTTACCTTCTCCACTCTGCCTAATTCTCCCCGTTCTCCACCCTTTTCTTGTTTCCTTCTTTTTTCTCTCCTCTACATGTTCTACTATTCATCTGAACTGAACATGTTGAATGCTGAACTCACAATTTCCCTCCTCAAACCTGCTCATCCTCTTGTATTCTTTCATCTCCACTGGTGGCATCATGAGCAATCACCCAGTAATTCGAGTTAGAAACATGGACTCATCCAGTCAAGACTCCCTCATCTCCCACGCTCAAATCCATACTGAAGTCTTTTCTTTCATCTGCTTCTTACCTCCTAAAACTTCTTAAACCTACCCCCTCTCCTCCCTCCGCATTGCCACTACCTGAGTTTGGACTTTCATTATCTCTTTCCCAAACTACTGCAGTAGCTTCCTGATTAATTCCTCTGCTCTTAGGCCTTCAGGTTCTCAGCCTCCTCAGGGCTGCCCTGATCTAAATGCAAATCTGAACAGATCTTTCTTGTGTCTCTATCATGGATTGGGTAAATTGAAGCTTCTTAACCTAGAGCACCGACTTGATGGCAGTGGGTTTTGGTTTTGGTAACCTAGAGCACACCTAGCTGGATTTGGCTACTGCCTCACCTCCTGCTATCGCCTTATGTCCCCCTCCTCCCTCCCCTCACACACTACCTTTTGATCAGCATTCTAGGCTACTTGCAGTTCCCCAAATACCCCTATGCTTTTTTATGCTGCTGAGCTTTTTGCTTTTGTTGTTCCCTCTGCTAGAACACCAGGACCCTGGGTGGCACAAATGGTTTGCACTCAAATACTAACCTGAAGGTTGGTGATTCAAACCTCACACAGCAGCACCACAGAAGAAAGGCCTGGCAATTTGCTTCTGCAAAGATTACAGCCAAGAAAATCTTATGGAGCAGTTCTATTCTGTAACACATGGTGTCACCATGGTCAGAATTGACTGGATGGCAACAGTTTTGTCTGGGTTTTTTTCTGCTTGGAATACCACCTGGTTAACCCAAAACCAAACCAAACCCTTTGCCTTCAAGTCAATTCTAACTCATAGCAACCCTATAGGACAGAGTAGAACTGCCTCATAGGATTTCCAGGAAGCGGCTGGTAGATTTAAACTGCCACCCTTTTGGTTTGCAGCAATAGCTCTTAACCACTGCGCCACCAGGGCTCCCAGTTAACCTCATGCATTCTCAAACAGCAGCTCAGAATTTACTTCTGCTAACAAGCCCTTCCAGATCCCATCCCCACCCCTAGGCCAGTACTTCTCATTAATGTGCATATGAATCACTAGGGACCCTGCTAAAAGTTAAAACTTAGATTCTCAGTCTGTCAGTCGGGGGTGGAGCCCAAGAGTCTGCTTTTGGAACAAACTCCCAGGAGATGCTGCAACTGCTGGTCGAACCACATTTGCGATGGTAAAGCCCTGGGCTCCATTAAAAGCTCCTCCTCTGAGTTCCCTGGGCTAACCTCTGTTAAAACGTCTCCTCCCATGCATTAAGTACTCTGTTTTGGCTTTATGTCTCCCCACTTTAAACTGTGAGCTCTTTGATATTAGAATCAAGTTTCTTTTGTATCCTAAGTGCCAAGCAACCTTAGGCACTCAGTAAATGTTTACCAAGTAAAACTGAACTGAGCTCTCACTGACGCTTTTTACTTACCCCCCTCCCCCATCATTTTTTCCTCAATTTACCTCTGGCAAAGGAATGATTTTGTAACCTAAGGTCTTAAGGTCTTGGCATGACTAGGAGGAGGTAAATGTAGAGTCACTGTTCATGTGGTTGTGGACGCACACACATAATTCCTTCCTCATCAAGAAGAAAATTACCAAACAAGACACTCCTAACTCCAGAAGAAACCGGGCCTTTGCACAAATGTATAAGCAGAATACACATGTCTCTTCTTTCTTTCCTCTTGAAGAGGCATGCACCATACCCCCAGAAAACCAAAACTAAACCAGTTGCCATGGAGTTGATCCCAACTCATAATGACCCCATGTGTTTCAGAGTAGAACTGCGCTCCATAGGGTTTTCAATGGCTATGATTTTTCAGAAGTAGATCACCAGGCCTTTCTTTTGTGACACTGCTGGGTGAATTCAAACTGCCAACCTTTCCATTAGTTCCCAAGTACAAACTGTTTGCTTCATTCAGGAACCTTTTATACCCTAAGAAAAACCCTTTGCTGTTGAGTCGATTCTGACTCATAGCAACTCTATAGGACAGAGTAGTACTGCCCCATAGGGTTTCCAAAGAGCACCTGGTGGATTCGAGCTGCTGACCTTTTGGTTAGCAGCCAAGCTCTTAACCATTGTGCCACCAGGGCTTCTTATACCAACAACCCCCAGAGATAGCCTAAAATACCTGAGAGTCTCTCAAGCTGTCTCCTAATTCATCTATTCAACAAATATTTACTGAGCAGCAACTATGTGCCAGGCACTGTTTTCTAACTTCGTTGTTATCTCTCTCTCACCACCTAACAGTCTAACCAGGCTACCTAACTTGTTCCTACTTCGTTATGCTCAGATTTTTACCCAAGGAGGACAATGCTTTATACAAGTTCTGGTACCATTTCATCTATATTTTGTGACAGGGCAGATTAGTAAATGCCAGACCATCAACATCTATTGGAAAAGAAAAGAGAATGGGGCTTTTTATTGGCAAAGATAAAAAGGTTGTGAGGTCTGAGACCCAGAGAGGAGTCCAGAGAAAAGGAGGAACTGAGAAGTTACACTTAGGACCTGATCCTGAGGGAGCTGTGAGAGAAGCTGCCAGCATCCCACTCCCTGGGACCTGAGAAGAGCTAAGTGAGTGGACTCCCTGAGGACCCAAGAACCTTTGTTCCTCATCTCCTAACTCTCTGCCTACAGCCCGTCTGTTCCAACAACACAGGAACCATCTGCTGTTTGCGAACAAGCCATGTATTTCCACATTCCTGTGCCTTGGCACAGGTTGTTCTCTCTGCTTCTGTTGTGTCTCCTCACTGCCTCCACCATTCTTCAAGCCTCAATGTAAATGTCACCTCTTTTTGAACCTCTCCATAAACTCTTATTCGCACTCCTCTTCCCTCTGTATAGTTTGATTAGCAGTTATCATAGTTGGATGCTTATTTCAGTCAGCTAGTTAGCTAGTTAGGTAAGTAGGTAGGTCTTACTCCTTGTTCACTCTCTTTGGGCATGGGAACCCTTCCTTGTATACCTTTATATGGCCTGTGGATGACGCATTGTCACTGTATGTCAAGGGAGAAGAGCATTAGCCAAAATCACCACTGAAAAGAAGACTTA